TTTGAGCCAATAAAAAATAATAATTTTATGCTAATCAGCTAATTGATAATAATCCAATTAATTGACGTAAAAATTGTCTGTACAAAAGTTTTTGATCTTCCTGATAATATGAACACCCTCGATTAATCTGCAACCTTTTACGATGTTCACAAGTAAAGATATTCGACAAACAAGAAAGGTGGTAAAAAGTGGTAAAGTGGCAAAAAATTGCCTTAAGACACGTGGAAAAGTTTGGAAAAGTTGGTCAGCCATAAAGGGACTCAAAAACGTCAAAATCCTTTGAAAGCTTTGTGTGTCGGCAGATCGTTTTTTTTAGATGGATCTGTCTGTACGATACTTTTAATTATAATATTTGATAAAAAGGTAAAACAGGGTGTAACCACTATTAGAAACATGACAAATAAATAACTCAACATCAGATTGATAATGATAGTGCGATTCTAGTTGTATTGTATTCTAGTTGTATTGTAGTTGTAGGTATTTTATCGTCAATTTGGCGCCAACATGAAACTTCAACTTTCGATTATTGTATAAATAAAGAATCCTAGCCCTTCGTCGTACATTGTAAGTACTACATAAAGTTAATCATGTCGATTTATATACAGGGTGGCCCAGAATAGAAGCCCAGAATAGAAGCAACTACCCACACGCAACCCTTCGATAACTTACGTAATTCGTATCAGAATTGCTCAAATATCTAATATCTAATTTTAGGGAATATAGATATTATATATTATATTATACTAGCAAGAACCCGTATAACCCTAAAATGGTGTCAAGACTCAAGAGACTAAAATAAATATTACCTATTTAATTCGCGTTTTTGACACCACTTGGGGGTCCAAATTTTGGGCTCTAAAACTCCTATTTCTTGGCCAATTTTTTATTTTTTCATGCTGATTCGGAGGCCATTAAAGCATTTGACCCAGTCAAAAACGTTTCAGTTGCATATCTTTTACGGTTTTTGCGGAAAGTCGCGTTAAAGTTGATGCCGTGGTGTCAGTAAAATGGTACGGAACCCTCCATATATATCGTCTCTGGTCTCGCTTTTTATATAGTAAGATTTTTTTATATAGTAAGATCTTTTTATATAGTAAGATGGGTCAAACTTAGATTTCCTGAAAATTTTGTCGGATATCGATATCTTCTTATTAGAAAGATTAGATTCGGAATCCTCCAACCAACTCTGGCATTAATCCTCTCTGCATCGGATATCTCCTTCTTTTATTCAAGAATAAAAGTATGATTTTGCTTGTTTGCTCGAAGTCGATGGGATGGTGTAAGATCGTTTACTCAATGATGCGATATGAAACTTTTCTCCTTTCATTCGATCCTACGTTCTTCGGCACAGAGACTATACTTATAGCTAAAGCAAATGCAATCGTTCTTGGCTGCGGCATGTTTGACTCTGCGATTGGTAATGGGTGTGATGCATTCCTGAACCCCCACATAACGGTTCAGGTCACATTAGTGTTAAGTTTGGTTCTGATTGGGGTTGTGTGCAGCGGTACACGCACTCAAGTTCGACAAACCCTAAGGTTCGACTCTGTCGAACTAAAGTGGGCTACCTGGACTCAAGTTCGACACGTACTAAAGTTCGATAAGAGAACTTCGACTGTCGAACTAGAGCTTTGAAATCTCCGATCTCAAGCAACGATCCTTTACGAGCTTGAAATTTATTCGTTTGTTTGTTTTCCACTTGTCTCATGCTGTTCAACTATGTGTTAATGTAATCTCTATAATCCATACTTACGAACATGTAATTGCAGGTCTCAGACTCAATTGTTAGTTAGCAGAATTGTAGACTAAGCGGAGAGATAAGAGACTAACGTGGTAACCCGTTTAGTCAAGATTATACATATTTTCGAATTTGCTCGCGACTTCCCATTTTTGGGTCTTATATCTAATCCTAGGGGCTTTGACACCTTTCAGACAACAAACATTTAGTCATGTGACTGCACTGGAAATATAACCGAGAGTACAGCCAATACGGATCACCCGGGATCTCGGTAGGGTGCCGGTTATGTGGCTCACCAGCAGTTCCTACTGGGTCATTTTCGTAAGTGCCATAATACAGGATGGCCTTTTTGTCTCTGTAGCTCTGGCTACTGACCTCTGCTAAAATCGCTTTAGGATGTGATAGATAGGAACTTTAGGCATACTCTCTGCTAAAAATTGTTCGGTATGGAAGCTTTAACTACCTGTGAGGCGACTTCTATGAACAGTGCTTTACTGTAAAATGTTTATAGGACCCTCCCCTAGTTCGAGACCATTATCGGGGACAAAGATCAACCCATTTGATCAAATGGGGGCGGAAACTGTTCGAGTATCGTTCAGACTCAGAGTAACTGGTGGTTGTGGCAAAATATCAAATTTTGTTCAGGTGGAAGCTGAGGGCTAAAAACATGTAGTCCCATTTTTTATTCATCACCCGTTACTGTTACTGTTAGTAAAACGCCTGTGCTTTAAGGTTCATATTGATTATTGAGACGTAACGAAATTGAAAAACAAGGGCGAATTTTTGCTTCGCATTACAATTACAACCAGTGCTACCACGGCATCGACAGCCATACTAAATTGCGCTGTGCCCTGTAGAAGATCCAATCCAATAAAAAAGTACTTACAATGGATTTATTGCCCCGTGGGGATGCATAATTCTGTCCTGCAGTCTTCCGACTTCAGTCATTGTCGTTTATCGATGTATGATGGGACAATTTAAAATCCATAATTTTATCGAATATGGGTGATGGGGTTGACCATTGTTAATGGTCTGGCCCGGCGCGCGCTACTTCGTAGCACTTGCCGTCGGGCAACATTTCGAGAAGAAAGCGGCGCGCGCTTGGCGCTACTTCGAAGAAATTTAGACGAGTAACATCCGTCAAGTGATGGGGTCGTTCACATATTACGTAATCAATATTTTAGCAATTTTTACCCCCCTCCCCCCTTCCGTAATCAACCGTAATAAAGACCCAACCCCCCCTCCTAACAGCAATATTACGTAATCATGGCCTGACCCCCCCCCCCCTTGACTTTTTCCCTAGAAAACACTTTTCTCTACGTTTCATGCTACCCTGATCATGCTATCATGATGAGCCGAAATCATTGTTATGATATGCGGACAAGTACCTTCTAAACTACTTACTATTATAGCCGGTCAGCCGGATATTCGATCAATTTCTAAATTTTATCACTATCAGGGTGAAATTTGAATTAAAATATCAAATTGTTATTATTCTAGAAGATAAAAAAGAAAATTTAGATTACGTAATCAACGACCGAACCCCCCCCCCCGTAATCAACCGTAAGCATTTGGAAACCCCCCTCGCCCCTCAGCTGATTACGTAATATGTGAACGACCCCTATGCAAGGAATTATTTGTTGGTATTTTTATTAGGGTCTCTTCTGCCTCTGGATCCCATCATTCACTTGCAAATATAATACCAAATACGGGCAGATAATAGTTTTTGTCAGATGCCCCTGTGTTATATGACATGAAGCTGTATCTTATGTGACATCTTTGATATTAAGGTAATCAAGTTAATAAGTTGGTCTGCTTGTTATACATGTCATTGTCAATCAGTTAATACACTCTTTTGGATGGAAATCACCGCGGATAGAACTGCCAAAATTCAAATTACGAATCGAAATACGTTATTGGTTATAGTAGTTATACGATAATATAGTTTATTCCGATGACAGAAATTAAAAAGTTATCATATCCTAGTAGTAGTATAGATAAGACATGAGTTCGCAGTGGAGTAATTATGGAAACAAATTCAACGGACTTTAACTTGGACGGACCTTAAACGGACGGACTTTATTTGAACGGACATTAAGATGAATTTTACTGTTAGGACTAAGGACCTCCATCGTTCAATTAATGTCCGTTCAAATAAGATCTGATAAGGTCCCACATACCACATTTTATATTATCGAGTACCAGTCTAGAAATTTGGCTGCTGAACCGACCGGAAATAGTCGGAAATATCAATCCATTTTCCTGTTATATTAGCTAGACCAGAACCGAGTAGCAAACAGGAGAATTAAAACTACCTTACAAGACATATTTATGGCGGCCTAATTTGCGACGACCGAAATTTTGGCGGTCCGAAAATATGGCGAAATTGAACAAAAACCGTCAAATTTCGGACGTCACAGAAAATAAGGGTATTTTTCATCATTTTTTGTGACAGTAAGCAGTAAGGAAATTTCTGAAATTCAGTAAAATCATGTTCAAATTTAGTCTGTATTAAGACTGTAAGACTTTCATGTTAGCACATACATGTATTTTAATGCAAATTTAAACTGTATTGCTTGACATTCAATTCGTCATTGGTGTGGTGATAATTTGTCCCAAGATGCCAGAATTTATTTATTTATTTTACTTGATATTACTTTTTAGAAACAAAATAAAGCAGTGAAGGCACAGTCATTGAAATAAGCTAAAAGATAATGCGACGGATTCTATTACGACGACCGAAATTTTGGCGGTCCGAAAATATGGCGAAATTTTCGGAAAACCGCCACATTTCGTACGTTATAAATATGTCTTGTAAGGTATACTGGAAGGTTATGGAATTTCTAACCGCTGGTTGCTAGATGTCAGAAAATCTTTTTATCTGCTATTGAAACCTGTGGGCTGTGATCCTATGATGAGGACCGGTAATAGCCGTTGGATCACAAGCAAAAACCATTTGTCGAACTAGAGTACGCTACCTGGACTCTAGTTCGACAAGGGTGATATCTGAAGAACTTAGGTTGTCGAACTATAGTGCGTGTCGAACTAGAGTACATGAATCGTGTGCAGCATAACAGTGAACAGAGCGAAAAAACTAAATAGCTAAGTACATTTTTATCAATATTTATTCTCATTTGATGCTTTTTTTTGATGATGATTTAACTTGACGTATATTCTGGTAAGATCGGTTTTGTCTCACACCTTTAGGAAATATCTCATATTCGGAAATGGAGCTTTCGATTGGACCAAATAAAACATCATGTTACGACAAATTTCTTATAACATATTGGACTATCAAAGCACACAAAATTTTAAAAATCATTTGTGCTTACATGTCTTAATAAACGAAAGTTCAATTAACAAAAGTATATCATATTTGAAAATTCAAATGACATGCGCTAACCAATCATTTCCTGAATTAAACTGGGGTATTTTGAACTATTTAAAGTTATCAAACTGAACATAAACACTAAACAATTGCCGTGCCATGTTATAATGATGCGGTAATATCACACGTGCAAGCCACACGTATAGTACCAGTATCATATCTACAAGAATAAGTTACAAATACACGATTATCGATTTAATTTTACAGTATTAATTTCCAGAATTGCAATTATATAGTATGTTATTGAATCTAAACCATGGTATATACTGAGAAGAAATTAACACAATCCGATAGCGAATTATTAATTAGTTAATATGCAGAATTATATCAGCTATGTTTGATTAATACTATGGACTAAGCAAGTTGTCCAGCCGCAATATATTCGAGAAAACATAATTAAAAGACCCGCCTTCCAGATTATTTAACATTGACACACCGCGTACCATAAAGTAAGCACCCCTAGTCGCGCTACAATCGCTAGGGCTACAGATACAGTTAATCATAATATCGGCATGTGACTGATCCACCTATCCGCACATTTGACAAGGGTTTGGTTTGTTGCTGCTTGACAGCTCCTCGGTTTTGTCTATCACGATTGAAGATCCACCGGGAACATCCTCTCTGTCCTCGTTTTCCAACTGTCGTTGAGAGACAATATGGTGAATTTCTGAAAAGTTTATATGTTTTAATATTCTAGCTGAATATTCGTCACAAAATAAGCCCCTCGATAGTCAGTAACCTGGGCACTAATACACATTGCACTTCATAAATCTCGTCGTAGTCGCGCACTTGCGCACTTCACATAAAGGGGGCGAGCATGCAGTCAAACATGGCTCCCATCTGACAGCTTTAAACCCAGAATCACGTGAAACTCAACATGAAGATTACAAACAGTACGTGCTCATGAGATAATCAAGAGGTCATGACGTTAAAAAGTTGACAAGAGGATGATATCTCGTTAATGACATACGATATTGCCTTAAATAAACACATGACATCGTTATCAAGAAGGTTGCCATTGCCACCATGTACAGTAGAGGAATACTTGAATATATCAAGAATTAATTCGTCGCGCGCATTTTAGAATGCTAACAGGAGTGCAAATCGTGTGCGATAAAGCAATTTGCGCGTTACATTATTCACATTAATTGAGGCCACCGGAAACTTGAGAGGCCTGTCCGTGTTCAAAACCCACGTTTTAACAGGAAAATCTTGTAATGGACTTAGATTCCCTAAATAAAATAAAATACACTTTTTTTCCTTCTAATCACAGGTCGTAAAATTTGAAATTGCTGCAATAGTAGATTAACATTCACGGGAAGCACCATTTACAATAGTGCGTCAAGGAAGCTCCATGTTTATTTTGCCGCTATAGAATCAACACTGTAATGAACATTAGCATGGTGACCAACATTCTAAAAGCCTTTCCGCGAAGCTGGTAATTTTATTTGTCACTCACTGCACTCTCACATTGTACCCGACCTACTCTCCCATCGTGTTTACCGGCAAAATTGCAAACCAAAATGAAACACATTTATATTTTATAAGGATGCGCACTGGGCAAACTATTTAGGGATATTCTCATTTGTGTATAATTGGATCTTGCGAATGACTATATGGGAACTCGGAACAATCAGTATAGGATATCATGGAGTATCTTACACAGTGTGTATAAGTTACATTGTAACTGTCTTACAATTTCATTAGAGCAGTGCTCATCAAATGAGGGCAGAGTTCTACACTTGCAGTAATAATGTACATATCTATTACATACTATCTCAACATAATGTACAGTTACACAAAGTGGGCCACACCAATTAAAATGGAAAACAATTAGTCTAAAAAAGTAATAATCAACAGCGGAATCTTGTCCCTAATTGAACGGTAATTGAAGAGGGGATATGTACCAACTACCACCACTCTGAGTTATTACAGTACCCAGAATGCTCTAAAGTTACAGTTTAACTACGTCACTAGTTTACTGACCAGAGAGGTGTTGATAGACATGTAATCGTTTTCAGTTCAAGTTCTAATAGATTAAATATATATATATCTGTCATTAAATGTGTTAGTAAAGTTGAGTATTGACAAACCTGTAAGTATATTGGTGAAAGCTGTTTCAACGTTGGTGGAGTCTAAAGCTGATGTTTCGATAAACGATAGTGAATTCCGTTCTGAAATTGTTGAACGTTATTGATCGGAAAATTAACAATTTAAAGATATGTAATATACTTTGCGATTGCTATAATCATTATATGCAAACACTCCTGATATAGAAGCACAACTCAAAATAAGCTCATGTAGTGAAGTTGAATTGTGTTCATATATTGGTTACTAAATTGCATAAATACATAATATGTGAGTCAGATAACATAACTACTTAAAAATGGAATTCGTTAAATGAGACGATCTCTCTAATTCTAAACGACTAATAATCGATGGAATGCCATTTTTGGTCATTTGCATTGGTTACTTAAACTTGATAATAGTTTTCCTAAGATGATCCAGCTAGCTGTGTTCCCCCAGTCCTTTTAGAATTCAGATGGGAACAGGTCTGTACTTTTAAAAGTATAGATAGAAAATATTCAACATGGCAACCATTCGAGTAGGAGTATCGTACGCCTTTTGTACTCCCAAAATCAGACTAATCGAATTCTAAGCAGCATAAGACAGTGGGCAGATCGTACGTCATGATAAAAATGAACCTATCTGCAACCAACCTGAGAAAGCCTTAGCCTCTTCGGTAGTAACCGCCCTCAAATGTCTGAGATCGCTCTTGTTTCCCACCAGCATGATAACAATGTTAGTGTCGGCGTGGTCCCTCAGCTCCTTCAGCCACCTCTCAACGTTCTCGTATGTCAGATGTTTAGCAATGTCGTAGACTAAGAGTGCGCCCACTGCGCCCCGGTAGTACGCACTTGTGATAGCCCTGTATCTTTCCTGACCCGCTGAAATATGTTTTTATGTGAACATTAACTGCAGTTTAATAACTTGCATTCGATATTTATATTCAAGAAATCTTTTCCATGTCATGTAAATCTGATTCACAACACATATCTATTCACAACACATATTGTCCATCATCATTTCACTGCACTGAAGCAACATCTGCGACAGTATAAACATTTCATCATGAAAATACTATCAAACTATTTATCAGATAATAAACATGTAATATAGCTGAGGTGGCGTAATTCCTACATCAGACAATGTGACAGTTAAAGGTGGTGGTTTCCCCTCCTCACACACGTATAAGTGGGCTGATACGGGAGAAGAAATTCAATATGCTTGGTGTACGGTTACACATCCTACTAGAGTTCGCCGATAAAATCACAGCAAGATAGGGACGTGTTTCTTGCTAACACGCACGGTTGTAGGGCTGATCTATAATACAGGCCGTGATAATGTTATGTTTAGATCCGTGGCCTGGCTGATTTACAGGTCATGATTAGCGCCGCATTGGTGACGATGATATTGGATTTGATTTTTTAAATTATAATCCTCAGAAGGAGCAATCTCCCTGGCTGTCAGACACTTTATCATCTGACACCAGATTAATTTTTTAATTTCTGCCATACTTATATTATATCCTCTGGCTGATTATTAGGCCTGTTGTTATGTTTCTTTGACGTAATGGAACGAATTATTGAGCAAGTGCCGCACGGAGGTTCACCCTGATATTTGTGTCAAACATGTTTTGGAGAACAACATAGGACCCTGGGACCCGTGATTATTGAGTCGGTCCCGGACTTCAGGCGCCCACTGGTGCTTGTGCCCCGTATCCCAATTCGCGATATTGACCAAAGTGATGTTGCCAAATTTTAAATAACTCAATCAGTTTTAATATTTTAGCATGAAATTTTAGAAGCCGACGTAGAATCCCATTTCAACCGGCGATTTATAATTTAGGCTAACAAAAATATTTAGCGGCCAAATTCTGAATTTTCCCCGGCAAAAACCTCATTAAACTTTAAAGCGATACATCAAAGATTATAGACATCTTATGCCCAAATTACTGACTTGAAATTTGGCGTGACTGCGAAACATTCTTAATCCGATCGGAATTTCAGGATTGTAAATTCTGCTTGAATCTCAGCCAAGTACACTCAACAAGTTTTAATTTAAGTAAATCTCATTTACTTTCACTGTTATTAAAGCACTGATTTACCCTGGATTTTACAGGAAATTAGAATTTAATTGGCAGCTAAATTAGAAATGAAAGCAATATTGCTATGGTAAAAAATATAGAGCATGTAACGATCTATTATTTCTCTTCGATGACAACAGCAGAAAATTAGATTGAACGAAACACATTATTGAATCATAAACATGACTCATCCAAATACTACACAACACTGAATAGTGAATATTATAGAGATTTTTGTTTTCTCTACACGAGAGGGTCGACATATCACAAATTGAGGTTAGCAAAGTTGTTGGCCTAAACGAAATGTGGGCACTTTCAAAAACATCTGTCACGGAAAAAATGTTAAAATTTGCCAAAAATCAGTTTTTGTGGCATAATTTGGTGGATAATTTTTGGAACGGGATGAAACTCCAGGATATGGTGTGCTATACCCTAACCTTTACTATCTGCCACTTTTTGTTTCGATTTAGGGCTAAATCTGGTGGATAAAAGTGAAACAGACCAATCCACTTCAGGTGGCCTTTAAAAATATTTAATTCCATCTAAACTCCTAAAATATGATTGAGACTTAACAATAATCGTTATAACTTCATAATTTCATAAGTAGGGCCGGGATTTTTCTTAAGGGCCAAATTTGGTGGATATATTTTTTTACCTCTTTTTTAAGACTGTTATTTGTTAGCTAACATCAATTTACTGGTCTTAAAATGATGCAAAGGCAATGTTAAATCTATGGCATCAACTATGAAGTACAAGATTCAGGTTAAAAGGCTATTTTTGGTGGATATAAGTCAATATTAATTAGTTAAACACGTAAATGTTACCAAAATATCAATAAATAAGACATCATCATGATTAGAAACAGTTGAAAAAGATGAAATATAAGATGTTGAACATTTATGCATAAGGTACTATGGCATTTTAAGCATTCAGGGCCAATTTGGTGGATAATTAACTCAAAAATACTTAAAATATCGACCTGGATATTTTTATATCCATCAATTTTGGCCTTAAAAGTCGGCTTGAGCTTATCACATTTTGTGCTGAACAAGAAAAAGGTCTAAACAAACCAATATCAGTGTATGATTTCATAATCGAGCAAATCTAAGGCCAGAAATAGTGGATAAAAAAGCAAATTTAACCGTTTTTAAGCTAATTTCTTAGGCATTTATCCACCAAAAACGGCCCTAAATGGAGAATGTTTGGAACGTTTGCTTGAAACTATAGCCCTTCTTTTCGACCTCAGAGCAATGATTTTCAGCTCTTTCGACCTTAAGATATAATTATTGGGCGTTGAAAGTGGATCACATACGTTATCAGTCAAGAAATCGTTATTTCAATCACTGAGGTAGGTTATTCACATTTAATATCCACCAATTTTAACCTTAAAAGTCGTCTTGGACTGAAAATTCTTTTGAACTGACTCAGCAAAGGGGATTTTCTATCTAGAAACAGTTGTAGTTTCATGATAGAACACATCTAGGGCCAAAAATAGTGGATACAAAAGCAAATTTTCCCGTTTTAGTACTTTTATCCACCAAAAACAGCTCTAAAGGCTGAAAGGAAACAGTTTGTTAAGTTCGTATGAAACTATATCCATTCATTATGGCCCTAGAGCAATAATTGTATACATTTTCAGCTTCTAGACGAGATAATTGGGGTCTAACAATGGATAACCTGCATTATTGACTCAGAAATTGACTTAAAATTAAATCAATCTTGAAGCTCCAATATATCCACCAAAAATGGCCTAAAAATTAAATCTTCTATGCTATCATAAACTTGAAACGATTTCCAACCTGATCCGTTCACTGAGTAAAGCTGGTGAACTTGTTGACCAATATAATTTTTTCAGTTGAAGATTTTCGGTATTGAATTTTATTTCATCGTTTAATTATCCACCATATCTAGCCTTAAAATTGAAATTTTTCTTTATTTTCGCCTTTTATCATAGAGGCATATCGATTTGCTACAATTCTATCTTTAAATAATCACCATAAATTAACCACACGTAAAGTTACAGGCCAACAAATGATATATCCACCAAACCCCTCTGAAAAGTATATCCACCATTATTAGCCCTGATTTAAATGCGTGTATCTCTGCTCATAGACATAGTAGACATTTTATTCTTTTTGTAAAAGTTGAACTATCGCAAATCCTATGCTGAAAAAAAGTTTAATCAAAATATTGAGTTTATCCACCAAATGAGAGCTTCTAGAAGTTGAAATTTTTCCCGTGACAGATTCGTTAACATAGTTTTTGAAAGTGCCCATGTACATATTTACAATGGCATTTAAATATCTGTTAACTTCTTGTTAAAATAGGAGCTAACTTTATCAGCACTTGATATTGGTTGGCAACACTGGGTATCATAACATTATGCCAACATTATGCAATAGAGACTGTTAGGTTCTAGGTTGTACACTTAGAATTTTAAGATATAATACGTATGTAGGATTATAATATTTAAATAACGTTAAAAAGAAACCACGCGAAATTACCTGTATCCCATATCTGAGCTTTTATCGTTTTTTCATCTACTTCTATTGATCTGGTAGCAAATTCTACGCCTATTGTGCTTTTACTTTCTAAACTGAACTCGTTTCTGGTGAACCGTGAGAGGAGATTTGATTTTCCGACACCACTGTCTCCTATTAATACAACTGAAATAGATCATGTTTAGAAATTTTGATTTTGAACAATTTCAAACAACAGCTTTAAAACAAGGTCCTGGAATGCTCAAATAATAAACTCCAGATTCTAATAATCTTACCTTTAAATAAGTAATCGTATTCGTCATCTTTACTCATTCTGAACCCTAGTGTGGTCAATTTGATCAATTGTAATAGTTAAATGAGTTAGAAATTTGTTAAAAGACTATCTTTGAATAGCACATGTTGGCATAACACGTTGGTTACAGCAATACAAGCTGTAGCTTCAACCTGTGACACATATCAAAGTACGGAGATGATTTACTCATTGAGGTAACTCTGTAGTATGTAGGGTCTCAGTGCCTTACAAAAGAAAACAGATATAATTGCTATTTATGGTAGGGATCTAACAATGCACAAATGTGTATCTTAGGAATTTCCTAAACACAAAACCAGATTGTTCTCACACAATGAGAAATTGTACAGCAAAGAGGGCTCTATTTAACAAACCCACAAACTATTAAATTTTCAAGAAAGCATAAGAAGTTTGAGAATGTAATTGATATAATTTCAACCTGGAGATTGGGTACATTAGAATTATAGCCCAAAATAGAATGTTTGATGCATCAACTTATATATCATAGATATTCATACAGTAGTTAAAAATCTGGGAGACTTCTCTAATGTATTCCCTTAGCCAGTCATCATGTGTCAATTAATTGTCAACATGCAAGAACTGAACGCACATCCAAAAGTTGATTTTTAGAATCACGTAGGACACCATCATATCTGGCATCACATAGTTCTCTTCTCTACAGTACTGTCCGGCTAGGAGAGAGACTTAGCCATGCTAGCCATCACACCATCACATATATAACACAATGGTACTTAACAAGTTTATTATCCGATGTCTACTTATATTTATTATGATATCATTATTCATTGTAATGGCAATAAAATTTAAATTTTGTTTTACTTAAATTTTGTTTCATTTAATGATACATAGCTAGAGGCAACTTATTTAAAGTAAAGCCAGTGCGGAATCACGCTTTTAAAGGTTTTTCACACAAATTCGAACTAAAAGCTGTTTCCACACGCTATTTCACCAGCAGTCGTTTTCCACACGTTTTAGCACAATTTGGAACTTCCAGCACGATTTTTCGTATAAAAACCAACAATGTCAATGAGCTATCATCAAGTTCAGAGATTTGGGGGTGTTCGAGAGAAATAGGGGTCAGCTGAGAGAAATGGGGTTTAGTTAATGCTTATTACTACAGCATGCAAAGAAACCTTTGTTTATTTACCATTGACTGTTACCACGTTACGGTATTCAGATTAGATTAGATTAGATTAAGAATAATGACATAAACATCATCACTAGTTTTAAACATTCTTTCTGATTTCCTCATTATCAGAACTGTGAACATTTCACAGCCTTCGTCATTAAAAAACAAACAAATTCTATAACTAACATAATTGTCATAATTTATTTACATATAAAAAAGTTTTAAAAGTTAAAAACCGTTAATTTAAAAAATAAATAAATAAAAACAAATTCATGAGATATTTATTCCCTTTCTCTTGGCAACACACGGATTTTTATATAAATATTGGACTTGTTGCTTCTTCTTTTCGATATAATTTACACCCTCTATTTTTGCTAAAACTATATTTGACACTTCCCAAAAGTTGCCTGTGTCTACTAAATTATTAGTCTTTTTAAATTCTTCTAGATTAATTTTAAAATCAATAACAGACACTGAATTTCTAACAAAAGATGGCAATTTATTCCAAAAGCTGATAACACGCTCTGATAAAAAATTATTAGACAAGGTTTTAATATTTCTATCAATATTGTTAGATTTAGTGCTAACAATTTTATCTCCCGATCTACTTAAATTGAAAATATCTTTTCCATACTCAACCAATCCATTTACAATTTTGTAGGCTTCAATCAAATCTCCTCTAACCCGTCTCTCTGCACGAGTGTTGTAATCTGTAAGGCATCCAACCTTTCACTGTAAGGAAGTGTTCCAATATCATCAATAAGGCGTGTGAACCTTCTCTGGACATTTTCCAGTTCAATGATAGTAGCCCAATTCCCATGGCAGGCAGGTGGAGACCACAACTGAGCACAATACTCCAAGTGGGGTCTTATTATAGTTTTATAAACATTTCTCATAACATTAATTTCTCTTATAATGAGATTCCTTGTAACCCATGCAATCATACTGTTTGCTTTACTAATACAACTTTTAATATGTTTCGACCATTTCAAATCTGAAGAAGTTAAAACTCCAAGATCTTTCTCTGCTTCAATACATTCAAGTGTAACACCACTAAATACATATTCTTGAAGGGGATTTTCATTAAATGGAACATGCATTATTTTGCATTTGCTAGGATTAAACTTTAACAGCCACACATTTTGCCAGTATTGCAAGCTTTCTAACATATTGAAAGTGCTTTCAGTGTCATTGGCATCCATAATAACTTTAAGATCATCTGCAAACAGTTTTGATATACCATTAATACAATCAGGCAAGTCATTGATAAAAATGACAAACAATAAAGGACCTAAAACAGACCCTTGTGGGACGCCTGATAAAACATCACGAAGGTAGGAATATGCTCCACCAACAAATGTCTTAAATCTTCTTCCAGATAAAAAGTCTTTCACAATATCTAAAGTGTTACCACTTATACCCAAATTTCTCATTTTTGTAAGTAGTCTATGATGTGGAACACTATCAAATGCTTTACAAAAATCTAAGTAAAACACATCTACGGGTGCACCATCTTCTAATAGTTCGATGATACATTCTACACTCTCTAATAGATTAGATAAACAAGATTTACCTTCTACAAATCCATGCTGGTTTGGATTTATCTTCTTACTAACAAAACTCATAATATGCCTCCTTACTAATTTTTCATATAATTTACATAAAATGCATGTAAGTGACACTGGCCTGTAATTTAGGGCATCTTTCCGACTACCCAACGTAATTGGATCTGCCCATTATTTATAGTATGCTTTCACAATAATTTATTGCTAAGGACACGTTTTTTTTTAAGTGTGGTGAAAATGACTTTGAGTGCCATGACACTTTTGACAATGAAAGTAAAATGACTAGTAACTAGAAAGTGTTGCACAGAAATGCCTTCAATCTTAACTGCCCCTGTAAGGAAAATCCATTAGTTAGTTAATATGTCATAATATAGTACCAAGGTAGTGCCAGTTTTCAGCATTTTGGACTATAATGTTTAAAACGCACGTAAAAAACTGAATTTTGCGACTTTTCTGTTCAAAATTCAGATTATGTCTCAGAATTATTCAAAGAATATTTGGATTGGGGTAGGAATACTTGAACTGTGCTCAAAATAAGCAAAAAGTCATTTGTTTGGTCAAATTTCTAGTTTGGTTGAAGGGGTTGTACAAGGCCCATACTTTCGATCAGCTTGTGAATGAACTGTAACAACTTTCAAGAAACGTTGGTCTGTAATAATGTAACCTAGAAAAAACCTATTGTGTGCCTGTATTCAGTAAAAATTCACTCACAAAATTACAATTGAGTTTTTTTACATTGCAGTAGCTAGAAAGCAAAAAATTAGAACGTTTTTCAATCATACTGTCGAGATTAAGTCTGCTCAACAGCATTCTGTCCGAAAATCAACTTAAGAGTGTGTCAGTTTTCAGTAAAAAGTCATTTTTAGGTCAAATTCATCACGATTAAAAATTAGAAAGAAATGACTCTTTGCTGAATATTGGCACTATACAATTGATGTCTGACAGCATAAGCAGGTTCATTAAGATGATTCTTTACAAAATCTAACGATATTGTGTGTTCTAATTCAGCAAAAAGTCATTTTATAAATAATATTTTTAGCTTAAAATCTTCATAGAAATGACTTTTTGCTGAATATTGGCACGATAAAGTAGATTTCTGACAACAATATCATGTTCATCATGGAAATTTGGGACATACTATTGATGTTTGAAGTTCATTGTGCCAGTTTTAAGTTAGTTATAGCAGGTTATCACAACACTGCTTACAAAGCACAAATTTTATGTGATTTACCATTGGTATATGCCTAGAAAAATAAGTCATTTTAAGCTGAATAATGGCACACAGTGCAACAAAATTGTGCCACATTAAACAAAAAAGGCACAACGCTCCCTCAAACAATATTCTGAACTAAAAGGAGTGCCATTTAGCAGTAAGAATGACTATTTCTGTCAAATAAGTCACTTTTTAATTGATTTTCAGGACACATTTGTTGTTTAAATTTTCAGGATATAACTAAACTAAGATTCGTATCTGCAACATAAACAATTTGGTGGTTTGAGATGATTGATAATGCTGATATTGACTTCCAATAGTTGGTAATTCCCACGCTGGCTGCAGCAGTCACTACAGCTGATTAGTGGTACTCTAATATTATTATCTGTTTTTGACCCCTTTATGAACACATTACTTTTCGAAATAGATGCTTAAACTAACACTTGTACACCCATGGATCAAGAAATGGACAATTTTTGTCTTTTTACATCATTTATCTATATGACTGATATGCTGAATTTGGGCACTCGGTGTTACAAGAGAAACTCGCTGGGTTGGTAATAGAAACAGAACCTGTAATAAATAGGATTTATTACATTAATAATATAAACTCAAATAGTTATATAAAGTTCCAATTATCCATTGTAAATATATAGTAGTATATAGATCATTGTAAATATATAGTTTAAAGGAATACGTACCGGTTGATACTCTACAATAACATAAATCTTCTTTCTACAAACTTAATCTTCTTTCTACAAACTTCAACCGGTTCTCATACTATGAATATATAATGATTAGTATTCTGCTAAGTCTAACATTCCCCCCTATTTAAAAACTTTTGAAAATAGCTCGAAGCTCTTTAAAAACACTTAAAAACACTTGACACGTAGTCATCCTGAATTCTTCAAATTGCTTAAAAGAACGCGCGTGCGCGGTAAAAATATTTCAACTTCTCACAATCCAATATTAGAAAATTGCTAGTCGTTAGTTACTTCAAACAAAGAAAATGTCCCAATCTCTCAGACAGAAAATTTTGACTGCCATACACGTAGCAAACGTGTGTTTAACATTATCTACTGGTAAATTCACAGTAAATAACCAA